ATGGAGTTGGTATTTTTTATGTTTAGTCATTCTTAGCCTAGGGTCTGTGGACGTGTTTTAAAATATATTTTGTTACCTGTATTTCAAAATAATTGAATGACTTTATAATCCTACGCATTTTATCTTGTGCATTTAAAAAAATTATTCTGAGAAGGGACCATAGGCTATATCAAATGCCATTACGCAAAAAAGTTAAGAACCTTTCCACCCCCCGTTTTTTTGGTGTGTATTATGCCCTTTTTTGTTCTTGGGTAGTTGGGATATGGAATCTGAATGGCTTATTTACAGGAGTTATCATGTTTTCAGAGTTAGGTACCAGAAGGAAACAGGATTTTTTATTCTCTAAGACCTACAGTTTTGGAATGTTCATAATATTGATCTACCAGAGAATAAAAACAGTATTCTCAAAACACAATGTGAATAGATGGATGCTGGTTATTGTTTAGAGGTTCTCATAATCTAATTGTGACATCACACACCATATCAGACCTCCCAGGAAGGGAAGGGAAGGAAAGGACAGGATTTAGAAAGGCATGGGACACTTTTAGCACAACTAGGGGAGTGTATGGTGGGGTAATTGTGTTGGGAGATCAAGAAGACAGTAACTGTTGCCAGTATCTCTAATGAGGGTACTAACCTCTCTCTTGCTTTGAGACTGCCCACTCTGTTCTGCAATTCCATAAGGACACACTGTGATTTGTGACTCCAGAGTCGAATGTGTTGACAGAAGAGAGAGTTGAGAGCTTCATTTTTATTTAGGAGTGCAGTTCTGGGGAGTCTGGTTATTTGGATTACTTCTTCTGTGTTTCTCTACTGTGTTGTATACATTTCTGGTAAAAATATTATGCATTGGCCTGTGCTATAAACTTCTTGTGGCATTATGTGCAGAAGATTTTTTGATACTGATTTTTAATTTGCTGAGTCTCTTCTTTATTATTACTATATTCCCTTCCCTCTTGGTTTGAGATGACCTACCTTTTCTTTCCACTTTTTCCCTTATTTCCTCTCATGAGTTTTTTTTTTGCTTATTTAATTTAATTTTTTCAGCATATCTAGTATCCATTTGATTTGTTGTTGTTTAATCATTTTAAGTAATGTCCAACTCTTTGTGAACTCATTTGGAGTTTGCTTGGCAATGATAATGGAATGGTTTGCCGCTTCCTTCTCTAGCTCATTTTTACAGATGAGGAAACTGAGGCAAACAGGGTTAAGTGACTTGCCCAGGATCACACAACTAGTAAGTGTCTGAGGCTGAATTTTAACTTAGATCTAATTGTGCCACCTACCTGTCCCTGATTTTTGCTGTTCAGTTGTTTTTCAGTCATGTCCAACTCTTTGTGACTCCATTTGGGGTTTTCTCAGCAAAGATACTGGAATATTTGCCATTGCCTTCTCTAACTCATTTTACAGATGTGGAACTAAGGCAAACAAGGTTAACTGACTTGTCCGGGTCACACAGCTTCTAAGTATCTGAGGCCAGATTTGAACTCAGAAAAATGAGTCTTCCAGATTCCAAGTCCAGTGCTCTATCCACTCCTGTTTTCTCTGCAGCGAATGATATTTACACTGGAAATGACAGAACAAAAATGCCTAATAGGGAGTTGATATCCAAAATAAGTAACGATGGTAAGAGAGCAATTCATTGCCCTTGATGAATTCAAGTTAACTAGCTTGAAGGAACTTGTATATCATAGGATTGGAATTGGTCAGTGGCAGGGGAAGCTTCTACTTTGGAGAGTATGGCCATGGACAAGAAAAATGGCCCAAGACTGGCTGTTTTACTAGAGATACCATTTTCTCAATATATCTTTCATATAATCATAAACACGCCCACTCACCACTGCCAATCAGAAACTACAGAGGTACAGGTGGAAATAGAAGGTTAGGAGAAAAGTCCTAGTCCTCTGCCTAGACATTCACTCTCCAGCTTCACCCTCTGCTCGAAGGAAACCCAAAGCCACAAAACTTAATCAGCACAATTACATTTGGCAGTCTAGTGTCTTTTACTCGGTCACTCACAGTAGAACTGCCTGAGGGAAGAGAATGACCCTGTCTTGTTAATGTAAAGATTTATATTGTTGTTGCTCATAAGTTCATATTTTTAGAGTCACAGAAAAAATCCAGGGGGAATTTTCTTTCTTATGTTGAAATCACCCAGATTTCCTATTCTTAAGTCCTATATGTATTAAGTCCTGCCCCATTGAATTCATCACCTGGTCTGGGGATGAAGATAGTGAGAAATTCACTTAGTCCAGTCCTTTCTGATCCCTGCCCTTGCTGAAAGTGTCACCTAGTTAGGCCTTGAATATGTTGCTATTCTCTGCTCCTGCTATTCCATAAATTTTAGTGGAATATTGGCCCTTTGATAGTAGTGACTATCATATTTATATTTCCCCATCAAAGTGATTGATAAAATAGAGAGGATTTCTTCCCTTCCGATAGCTAAGGGGGTGCCTCATTTCCCAAACTCAAACACCAACTGGATCACAATGAGTGACTGACTTCATTCTTACCCTGAATGTGACCAAAGCATCTCACCTGGTGTACTAGTTAGTAGCTTATGCTTAGGTCTGGGTCTGCTCCTACTGGAATGTAGCATGATACAGTGGAAAGAATACTGGCTTTACATACAGAGGAACTGGATAAAAATTTCTACTCTGCCATTTGCTATCTGTATGACCTTGGGCAAATCACTTAATCCCATCTAAACCCCAGTTTCTTCTTTCATAAAATAAGGGGGTTAAACTAGATTGAATGTCCCTTGCAACTTTAAATCTCTGATCATGTAATCCCACCACCTATTACTCCATTGAGCAATAGAAAAATGTGTAGTCAGTTAAAAATAACAAGGCAACAGATAAATTCTTAAAATTCCTATAGGACAAAATTCCTTCAGAAATGCAAGTTGAAACATTAATGGATGCCATGGAAGAAATACTAAAGTAGAATTACATTGTATCATCAAAATATTAAAAGAACTCAAAGGGACTCAATCAAAAAACACAAGAGATAAATGAAGGAACAACTAAGGAAATCTAAAGAAAAAACATCCATGGAATAAGTGAAATTAAACAAAGGAAGATAACAGAAGTGAAATGGAAAAAGAAGTTCATGATGTACAACAAGACTGAAAAATTAAATAATGGACATGCATTAGTGTCTGATTTTTGGAACATTATGAATAAATATGAGATATGCTAGAATTCCAGAAACTAGTGAAAAAGAAAAAAAGATGTTTATTTGATTTGAGGTAACAATTAAAGAAAAATTTCCAGAGTACATAAGATCAGGCAATACACTGCAAGAAGAAAGAAGACATGACCCCAGCATGGCAAAATTTTACCTATAATTGACCAAGATATGTAACTGGTAAACTATAGAATTACAAATACAAGGAAAACTTCTTCAAGAAATACAAAATAAATTGATATTTAAAGTTGTCAATGTGACATTGGACTCTGGGAGAAACAGAGAAATAGGATTTATTTCCCCAAATCACAAATCTTTCAAGTGTTTAATTCAACAAATATTTATTAAGTACCTACTATATGCAAGGCACTGTGATAGGTGCTGAGGATACAAAGCAAACAAAAGAAAACATTTTGGAGTGTGGGAGGTAATCAGATTGCAAAGTATTAGCATACTGTATTTGGGGATCTGATTATTCATGTTTTTAGCAGGTCAGAAAAATAAAATTAGAAGAAGTTTAGAAGATTTTATTGACAAGAAAGTTATGAATCAATGGGGTTGATGACAATATTTCCAAAGGGAATGTAAGTTCAAATATGTGGTCTTATATGGAGGTGAGAGCATATACCTGAACACAAATGACTTACAAGTGTTTATAAAACCTTTACTCCCATGTAGTCTTATAAAACTGAATCTCAAAGTTCTGGATTGAGCTGAGAAGTTTAATGATGTTTCCATCATTATGGAAATATGGAAATATCACAATGAATCTATGCTATAGTAACCTAATTAAATTTATTCTTCTTGGTTTGGGATTTTGTGCTTGGGCCAGTCTCTTTGTGGAATGCAAGATGGGTTGGGTAAACTTTCCTTTGTCCTCTGTCCTTTGTCATCTGGATGTCACTACCCCTGACTGCCTCGATGGTATGGCTGGTATTAGGCCTCACCCCTGCCTCAATCCTTGACTTCTTTAACCCCAATTTACAAAACATTTGTATTACTTAAATTGATATGACTATACCAGGGTCTTAGGATCAAAGGATTTTTAATCTGAAAGAGACCACAGAAGTCATCTAGTTGTATTCCCTTATTTCACAAAGGAGGAAACCGAAGGAAGTACCTAAATGACTCACCCAGGGTCATGTAGGTAGTACACAGTAGATCTAGGATTAGAATTCTGATCTTCTTGAGTAAAAATCCAATATTCTTTCTATTATAATAATAAATCCTTCAGGAACATTTTAGTCTCTGTGGTTTTCAGATGTGATTAAAATTGGACCAGTGTAGCATTTTTTTAAAATTTCATGGACAGTCTTATTTAGTAGCCGTACTAATATGTACATAATTATACTCATAATACTATGATTTTGTAGGCTAGGAAGCTGAGGCACAAATATAATAATTGACTTGACCAAGTATATTGGAGCAACAATGAGAAGAAAGTTCCTCGTTTCTAAACCTCAGTGTTTAGCTTAGTCTAATAAGTCAAGTTTATTCATAAGGGCAGAGACAGTAGGCACCATTCATTATTAGTGTTTTTAATAATGGCATTATATGACCATTACAATCATTGGAGACCAATTCTACCACGAGATTATACATTTAGAGCATGCTTTCTTAGGTTCTGTTGTTTGGTGGCTGTTAATAGTGGATTTATGAGGATAAAATGAGATAAAATTTGCAAAGCACTTTGCAAACCTGAAAGTGCTATATAAATGTAGCTATTATTATTATTATTATTATCATCACTATCATCATCATCATCATAATCAACATCATCATTGTCATTATCATCATTATTCACACTGTTGTCATATTTCCATGCGGAAGGTTAGAGAGGTTCCTTCCATCTTCTTCTTATAGTCATTGTTAAATTTCTCATTCTGAGCCACAGTGAAGTGGTTTTTCCAATCTCCAACAATTCCTATAAAAAGGAAGAGCCAAAGTTTTAATTCTATAAAGTGGTATGTAAAATTATATAGTTATATAAACTAGTAGGATGCCCCAGAAGAATTCCTTTTACTTTAGAACCAAGCGCACATCATGTGACAAACAGATTTTAGGTAGGTGGAATATATGATTTCGTCACCACTGAAAACCTAAATTCTCTTGTAGGAAAGATTATATAAATTAAAGAGATGAGTGGAGAAGTGGATAAATAAACTAAATACCCACCCTTTCTCATGAAGGGGGAAATGGATTGGTCCATAATAGTTTTGGGCACTGTGGAGCGGTTTATCATGGGATTTTCTTTCATTTTCTCAAATGACGTTTCCTGTACAATTTTATCCAGTATCATTTCATCCAGGTTCTTTCCCATGAACTTCATCACCTTCTGAATTTCACGCTTTGGATTCTGTGGTGGGACAACACAATGTTAGAGAGACCAAGATAGGCTATAAAATTATGATTTGGAAATGTCTGTGGTAGAGGCAGCACATTAATAGATAAAGGCATAGATGGGAAATAGAGTGATAATTTTGTGTGTACCTTACAATATTATGAGCCCTAAGAGTGAAGGGACTAGGTTTTATTTAATCTTTGATTTCTCTCTCAGACCATAACATAGTGCATTGCTCATAATAGCTGCTTAATAAATGTTGGTTGAAGTAGAGAAGACTAGAGGACCAAAAGGATAAGTTCTAAGGTATGACCCTGATGAATTTCTGGGAAGCACACATATCCATTCCTTCATGATCTGCTAATTAGGAGTGTAGACATGATTCGGCTCTGCTGCTCAGAAGCTGTCTGCAAGAATCTTCAGTAAGAGGCTGTGCCTCTCAATTCTTCACTCACCTCTTTCATGTCCTCATAAAAAAGGAAGAGAATTTGGTGTTTGTCTTTTGCCTTCCACCATCCTTTAACATGGTCATACCAGGGGCCACAGCTCACTGAAATAGAAAGAAAACATAACAACCTAAGTGAGGATGTATATGAACCTACAAATGAGCAATATCTACTTATTTTATGCTCTGATAGGGTATGTCACTCATGCAAAGTGAATCTGGGTGACTTGGGGATCCTAATTCTCAACATGAGGTTCCCAGGGGCCAACAGAGATTGAAAAAGGGGCCTGAATTGAAGATAGCACAGACCTGACCAAGTAGTTGATGCTCTCACTCTCTGCTTGGAGGCAGTGAACTATAGTTCTCAAGTACTCATCTTCCTCTGAAATCTAGACTAAGTGGGGAAGCAGGAGAATAAACCACCCAAGCCAGAAGACAGACAAATGTACTGCTGAGGTATCAACTTAGGAAGGAACAAGATCAAAGCACAGAGATAGACCAAGAATAGAAGAGCAAATGAGAAAAAAAACCAGATTAGAAGGTAAGTCATTAGGAATAGGTCACAGTTGTATGAAGCTTTAAGATTTGCAAAACTGCTTTACATACATTAGTTCATATGATCCAAAAACTCTCTTTGAGGTAGGGGCAATTATTATGGCTATTTTACAGATGACCAATCTGACCCTCAGACATGTCAAGTGATTTGCTCTGGATCTCACAGTTAAGGAAGTGTCTTGAGTGGGATTCAACAAGGTCTCCCTGTGAAACCTGGACAGTATACCAATGCCATGCCAGGAAACTGAATTGCTTCCATTTGAACTGTCTTAGGAAGATTCTGAAGATCATCTGGCCAGGATAGGATACCAGACACTGAGGTCCTCTCTCGAATTAAACTGCCAGGCATTCAAACTGTGCTGCAGAGAGCACAACTCTGATGGGCTGGCCATGTCAAATGCAAAATGTCTGCTTGCCAGAAAGACTATGTTATGGAGAACTCACACCGAGCAAGCACTCTCATGGTAGTCAGAAGAAGCAATACAAGAACACTCTCTCTCTCTCTCTCTCTCTCTCTTTTTTTTTTGCTAGGCAGTGGGGTTAAGTGACCTGCCCAGGGTCACACAGCTAGTGAGTGTTATGTGTCTAAGGCTGGATTTGAACTCAGGTCCTGCTGAATCCAGGGTCAGTGCTCTATCCACTGTGCCACCTAGCTACCCCAACAAGGACACTCTCAAGGTTTCTCTTAAGAAGTCTGGAATTGATTATGTGACATGGGAGCTACTGGCCCAGGACCACCCAGCATGGCATGCCCATATCAGAGAAGTGTTGTGCTCTATGAGCAAAGCAGAACTGAAGTAGCTCTAAAGAAACGCGAGATACACAAATGTAGAGAATCCACCCCAAATGTTCCATGGACTATTTGTGCCTGACCTGTGGTATAACATTCTCAGTTCCTTTTGATCTGATCAGCCATAGTAGGATGCACAGTAGCTTGACTCCAGCATAGTGATGTCATTTTGATCCTCTTTGAGAATGAAGGAAGGACAAAAACAAACCAAGCTTCACTCCAAGTCTATTTTATCCACTATGCTATTCTACTCAGGGCCACTAGGTGGTGGACTCATCTTCCTCAGTCCAAATCTCAGACACTTTCCAGCTCAATGACCCTGGGCAAATCATTTAACCCTGTTTGCCTCAGTTTCCTTAGCTGTAAATGAGCTGGAGAAGGAAATGTCAAGCCACTCCAGTATCTTTGCTAAGAAAATTACAAATGGGGTCTTGAAGAGCTGGATGTGACAGAAAAACAACTGAAAAGGCCCTTCTATCTCCTTAAGTCAGAAACAAGGTAAAATAGGGAAAAGAAGACATCTGGATAGGATAATAATTATCAACTACATTGGTTCATCCTTTCTATTATGGAGTATTCTTTTTAATCACACACACACACACACACACACACACATTAGAAAAAACAATTGAAACAACAATAGAAAAATCTAACTGCTTTCATTACTTTGTCCAGGAGTGAATTAGAATAAAAAGTGCGATCATAGGAGAAAAGAACACAAGATTTGTATATTTTCTAGTACCTTGTATGCTGTAATGTGCACCTAGTACATACGTCTTCCTCAGTTTCCTTAGCTGAATCATTATCCATGTCTTACCTCCCAACTGTCAATATACCACAGTTATAATCTTTCTCTCTACACCCCTTTCTTGCTGATCCATTTACCCCATGCAGCCTTCTCACCATGGAACATCCTTCTACTCCCTTCTCCCAAAGGTGAGTTTTCATAGTGCCTTCAATTTGGGGCGGGGTCCTGGTGGGCCAACCTTTATTGCCCTTCCATACTTCAACACCATGCCCTCTCCTCCCTCAACTTTTCATCTCCATTTTGTATGTTGTTTTTTCCCATTGGAAACAGGGACAAACTTCCTTTTTGCTTGTATTTGTATCTCCAACACTTAGCATAATCCCTGGCACATAGTAAGCATTTAGTACATGCTTCTTGCCTTACCTTGATGAACTTGGCAGCTTCCTTCACTACATAGATGAATCCTAGATCCACCTTTCCAATCCCAAAGTCTCTTCTGAGCTTTAGTTCTGTATTACCAATAGCCAGTTGGATATTTCCCAGTGGGTATTCCATAGACATCCCAACATATCCAAAATAGATCTTTCCTCCTCAAAACCACATTGTTTGCAGGCTTCCCTATTTCTGTTTAAGTCATTATCTTTCCATTTACCTAGGTTTGTCAGAACCTCAGAATTGTCCTCTACTATTTTCCCTCTCATCTCCCACTTCTGGTTAATTATCAAACTTGTTTATTCTTTTTCTATAGCATCTTTTATATCCATCCTCTTCTCTCTACTCACATGACCACCACCCTACTTCAGGCCTTTATCACCTTTTTTGTCTGGGCTATTTTAGCAGCCTCCTAATTGGTCTCCTTGCCTCATATTTCTTACCTCTCAGTCTCTCAGCTAATAAGCATTTATTAAGCATCTATTATGTTCCAGGTACCGTGCTAAGGTCAGGGATACAAAGAAAGGCAAAAGGTAGTTTGTGCAATTGAGGAGCTCACAATCTATTTGGGGGAAACAACAAGTAAACAGTTATGCACAAACCAGCTATGTGCAGGATAAAAAGGAAATAATTAACACAGGGAAGGCACTAGAATTAGGAGTGATTGGGAAAGGCTTCCTATAGAAAGTAAGATTTTAGTTTGGACTTGAAGGAAGCAGGGAAGTCAGGAGGTAGAGGTAAAAAGGTAGAGCATCCCAGGCCTGGGAAACAGCCACAGAAAATGCCTAGAGCCAAGAGATGGAGGTCTTGTTTGTGGAACAGCAATGAGGCCAGTATCACCAGATTGAAGTAGTGGGACGTGAGGTATAAGAAGATTGGAAAGGTATGTGTGTATGGGTAAGTTATGACGGATTTTGAATGCTGAACAGAAGAATTTGCATTTGATCCTGGAGGTGATAGGGAGCACTGGAGCTTTTTTTTAATTCTCTACATGGGATGTAACATTCCTAAAACACATTTCTGACCATGCATTCTTGTGCTCCAATACAAAATCTGCTCATTTACAAAATCTGCTGTTGCTTTCCAAACTCTTCATGATCAGGTTCCAGTCTACCTATCCAGGCTTCTTATTTCTCTTCAGTCAAAGTGGCCTATTTGCTGTTCTTCATACACAGCATTCCATCTTTTATTTGTGTGTCTCTGCACTATCTTTGCACTCCAAGGCTGGAATGCCTTCCTCACCTTCCACAATAAGAGAAACAGGAATCCCTCATTTCCTTTAAAACTCAAGTGTGAGCTCTTATATCATGCCTTTCCTGTCCACCCCCCTCCCATTACTTTGTATTTACCTTCTCCCCCTCTCCATCTCCCTCTCCCTCTTCCTCTTCCTCTCCCTCCCTCCCTCCCTTCCTTCCCTCCCCTTCCCTTCCCTCCCCCTCCCCCCCTCTCATATTTACTTAGGTATGTACATGCTGTATACACATGCTGTGATCACAGGATGTGAGCAATCCATCTATATGTCAACATTTAAGTGTCTGCATGCTGGATGTAAGTTCCTTGAGGACAGTGACTATTTCATTTTTGCTCTTTATATTCTCTGTGCCTAACACTTAATCTGACACTTAATGGGTGCTTAAGAAATGCTTATTGATTAATTGATCTTGTAATTACATTGTCAATTTTTTTGAAGTTAAATGTAGGATTTATCTCTTATTACATTTTGCCTTATTAGAGCTGACCAGTGTCTTAGTCTTTTGAGATCTTTTTGGATAATGACTTTGCCATCCAATTATTAGCTCTCTTTGGGATCCTCCACGGGAGACTTTCTAATAATAGCTAGCATTCACATAGTTCTTTGCATATATTACCTTATTTTATCCTCACCACAACCCTGGTAGTCATGCGTTATTATTATCCCTATTTTATAGATGAGGAAACTGAGGTAGACAGAAGTTAAGTGACTTGCCTAGGGTCACACCGTTAGTAAGGGTTTGAGGCAAAATTTGAGCTCAGGTTTTTCTGAGTCTGTGCCAACCTCTGATCTACTGTGGTATTTACCTACCAATTTACTTTCTAGCTGACATTTACCCACTGGTGACTGTCTATTCTTTAGGTCTGGTCATTCAGGCAGTTAATAATAATGATGATGATGTAATAATAGCTAGTGTTTAGTGCTTTAAGATTTGCAAAGCTCTTTACATGTGTTAACCCATTTGATTCTCACAACAAGATACTATTATTAGCAGTCAAGATTAATGTTTACTAAGGCCTACTATTTGTTAGGCATTGACCTAAGAACTGGAGACTCAAAGAAAGATAAAAGATAGTTCTTGCTTTCATGGAGCTAATAGTCTAATGGGGGAGAAAACATGCAAACCTCAATGTACACTCTACATATAGGATAAATTAGAAATAATTAATAGAAGTAAGGTACTTGGATTCAGGGGGCTGAAGCAAGACTTCTTGTAGAAGGTGGGATTTTTTCTGGGACTTGAAGGAAGTCAGGGAAGCTGGGAGGTGGAGATGAGGAGAAAGAACATTCTAGGAATGAAGAAAATGCTTGGAATTGGGAGATAGAGTGTTGCGTGTAATGAAGAGCAAGAAGACCATGGATTGTAGAGTATGTGGGAGGGTGTAAGATGAAAGAATATGAAAAAAGAGGGGATGTTAATTATGAAGGGCTTTGAAGGCCAAAGAGAAGATTTTATAGTTGATCCTAGAGATGACAAAGGACCATTGAAGTTTATTGAGTAGGGTGTGAAATGGTTAGTCCTATGCTTTAGGAAGAACACTTTGATGGTTGAATGATTCATGCAATGGAGTGGGGAGAGACTGAGATCAACCAGTAGGCTATTGTGCTGGTCTAACCATAAAGTGATAAGGACTTGCAGCAGGGTGATGGCAGTGTCAGAGAAAAAAAAAGTATGCACAAGTTGTTATGAATGTAAATTGATAGGCCTTGGCAACAGATTGGATATGGGAAGAGAGTGAGAAGTCAAGGATGACCACCTTGGTTTTGAGACTGAATGATTGGGAGAATGGTAGTACCCTTAACCCTACTAGGGAAGTTAGGAGGAGGGGACGGTTTTTGGGGAAAGATAATGAATTCCGTTTTGGGCACGTTGAGTTTAAAATGTCTATAGGACTTCCAGTTTGAGATGTCTAATAGGCAGTTGGAGATGTGAGACAAGAGCCAGCAGAGAGATGAAGGCCGGAGAAGTAGATTTGAGAATTATCATCATAGAGATGGCAATCGAATCCCCATTTTTTTTAAACAAATGAGGTAACTGAGACACACAGAATCTAAGTGACTTGCCCAGGGTCATAGGGCTAGGAAGTGTCTGAGTCAGTATTTGAATTCAGGACTCTCTGACTCCAAGTCCTGGTCTCTTTCTACTTTCGGTGGCTGTCAACCTTTGGCAACAGACCTTGGGAAGTCCCATAATTCAATGTGCACATATACTAACCATCTCATTAAAAGATTTAGTATGCTAAATAAACAAACATACCTTCTACAAAAAAATAAATATCTACTAAGTATATCTATTTATATATATCCACACACACATAAATAACTTCATACATCTATTGGGTATTGTTATGATTAGTAAACTGATATAATATATTTACACAAAACTGAAAAAACAAAAATGTCCATTGAAAAGTATTATTAAACTTTTAGTTGATTTTTGTCAACATGTGTTTACTCAATCCATGGATACTAATGCGATGACTATCACGTGGGGGTCCACACAATGTTTGGGTCATGAAAGGTCCTGATTCTTGAAAAGTCTAGGAACTGCATCTCTCCATTTTGTTCATGAGGACAGTAAGAAAAACTCACCAAAAGCCTTGTTGAAATCTACTATGCCATGTTTAAAGCATTCCCTTAAATCAGTGCAGAAACCATGACAAAATAGGTAATGCATTTAGTCTGGTTTAACCTTGCATAATGTGTTTTTGAATTTTGCTAGGAACTGAAATTAAACTCTTTCTCACCACCCAATGAGTTAGTAGAATGTATGTTTCCAGTTTTTATATATGTATAAACTTATTTATATATGTACATATATACACACATGTACATACATACATGTATCTATCTATTGCTTTATTTAGCAAGATCCCTAGATAAAAAATTGACTTGTTACACATCCTATTTCCAACTATAATAGTGTTCTATATTGCTGCTCTCCATAAGAATTGAGTTATTTTTCTAAAACAGTTATGGTCAGTAATGTAAATACAGAAATTAAAACATAATAAATTGCTTCTGTTTCAGAAGAATAAACACTGTGTATAGAAATAAGGTTTTTTCAAAGTCTTTTTGCCTCTTTTTCATATCCCTGGCACTTAGCACAGTACCTGGCACATAGCACACATTTAATATGATATTGTATATAGGATAAATAACACTTATCTGGGATGTTGTAAAGGGTATTTGGTCTTTAGGTAGAGGTTGGACTAAGGTTTATGGAATCCTTTGCAACTTCAGAATTCTAAATTCTGTGCCTTTTACACAGTTGGAAAGGGGATCTGCAGGACAAAGGATAACCTGTACAAACAAGATTATTCATACCCATATATACATAACCCAGGAAACTGGGTTAGCACAGCTTTTCATCCTGCCAGCAGCTAGAATGGCAAGATTGCATCTCCTAGACGTGTGATTCTACCTTAGAGATAAAAAGATTAACAGTGTTATACTGTGTTTTAGAGAATAATCCAAAATGTTGTGATCATGTAGGTCTATCTCAAGTCAGAGTCGAAATTAAAACTGACATTAATTAAAGCATTTCCTTACCTTTCCCATTCATGAAGTTTTCAAAATATTCTTCCCACGTTCCTGGTTCAGGGAGTGTTTGGCTCATCCTTTGGAAATGGTAATAGGATACCATGCAGTCTTTGGCATTGCGAGCTACATAAATGATCTTGGGAAAGTGAGTATAATATATAGAAAAGATGTTAATTTTACACAAGTTGTCATATCCATCAGTAACAATTATGTGCCAATCACTGTTATAGGCACCATGACAATCACAAGGGAAATAATAGGCACAGTTCCTAATGGGATAACATAGGATAGGACATTGTTTGTAAATACAAATGATAGAAACATAGACATAACCAATTACAGTTTTTACATATAGGTCATATGATCATAGATTTAGAGCTAGAAGGGACCACAGAAGTTATATAGTCTAACCCTCTAATTTTACAAATGAGGAAACTGAGGCTAAGTGAGGTATCCAAGTGACTTGTCCAAAGTCACAGTTAAGTGGCAGAGTCGGGGGTTGAACCCAGGCCTTCTGACCCCAAATTGAGTATTTTCTAATGCATGATTGACAGACAGGATATGCTAAGGGGAATATCAAAGCAACTGAATAAATAACGGAGAAAGTAAATCTTAAAGCAGAATTTTGAAGTGGGAGGGGGTAGTTTGGTAACTAGGTGGGAGAAGGGCATTATTAACGTGAAAATTATTTTGAGATGAGAAGGGATAAATCATATTTGGTTTTATTGTAAACAGATTATCTTGTTTGACCCAGAAAGCATGAGCTTTTAATATCTTAAACTTAAAAAGTTTAAGACCTTTCTCAGGAAAATTAACTGTTTTCGGGTATGTGAAGGGCAACCAGGTGGCACAGTAGATAGAGTTCTAAGCCTGGAGTCCGGAAGACTCATCTTTGTGAGCTCAAATCTGGTCTCAGACTTTATCAATTAAATGAATTTGATTACTCTTTCAGGTTACCCTGCATAATAGTTTCTGCTTACCTTACAGGTGCTTTCCCAGAAGGATGGAGGCAATAGTTGGGAGGGAAGGTGTGTCTTCAGTATCCGAGGAGAGGGCATTGTATTGGCTTGGTCCACACCTGGAAATAATTTAGACTAAGTGAGGGATAGACTAAGCAGATAGATTAATCATCAAAAGAGGCTTCTTTAAAGAAAGTCCTATTGAGTATCTCTCGTTGTCCAAAATCTCTACTTTCCCCATATAATTTTGGGAGCTTTTTCCATGGATTAATTATTGTGGATTACAAAGTAGAACCAATAGGCAGTATCTCCTTTTTCTTTATGAAAATGAAATATTGTAATCTTAGTGAGATCCCCTCGGTTCCCAAATAAGATTCAACTGCATCAGACCAATGATTGTAATGAGTGTCTTGCCAAGAGTCAGCATGTTATAGTGAACAGACATAGCTTCAATCAATCAGAGCAGTGTTCTCGTCCCACCTTTGATCCGTATCAACTGTGTGACCCTGGGCAAGTTACGTAATTTCTCAGAGCACCAGGGAACTCTAAGACTGCTGAGTCAAAGCAATATTCATTGACACCTATAGAAATAAAATTTCAGGTCTGGTTCCCCCTTGCCCTGTAAAAAAAAAAATAGTCTCTCATTTTTGTTTATTTTGTGTTATGCTTTTATTTCACTATCTCTGTTCATTCACTTCACAATATTTATGGAGCATTTGTTTTGTTTAAGGCACTACTATAAGTGTTGTGGAGGATACAAAAATGAATAAAACACAGGCCCAACCCTTAAGGAATTTATGTCTAGTAGGAGATATAAGATATACAGAAATAATCATAATACCAGGGAGATTATGAGAAGTGCTGTAAGAACAAAGTTCTTTGGGGAAATCAGAGGAAGCAACTGCTTTTGATTTTAATTAGGAAAATTTTTATATCTTCTTGCCTGTTGCTATTTCTTCTTGTCTAACCACCTGACTTTTTTTTTTAACCTTCCATGTTTTCAGTATTGCCAGTTTTGCTTTGTCCTTGCCTGTCAAATTGTTCTTGCCCACTGTCCTTGCCTTTTTCTTGTGTTTGAACTTTCTGCTGTAAAAAAGAGTCAACAACCAATCAATCAACAAGTGTTCATTCGATGTCTAATGGGAATAATGAAGTAGTATAATTAGTTGCGACTCTCTAAAACCACAATTAATTTACAACGGTAGTTATATGTAATGTAGAACTTATCAAAACTTTCTTCCATAAATAACCCTTTTGCAAGTTACCAGTAAGCCTGGCAATTGATGTAGTTAGGGAAGAATAGATAAGAACAGGTAAGAAAAAGGAGGGTTCAGCATTCCTGGTTCTTGGCGAGTAGTGCCTCCTGACTTCCCTGAAGGCTCTACTCGCTTGGTCCTCTGCTTCCTTTCTGACCCTGAGGCCTCTCAGCACCTCTAATTGCTTTTATTTTTTGTTTGTTTTTTGGCCACATGGGACTTCTGCTCAACCATATCTTTTCCCTTGTGCTCTCTTCCTACTAGAGACCTTTCATTCCAATGCAGTGGGAGAAAAGCCAAAGGTAGACTGCTAGAAGAAACAAAAGTCTGATCCTTGACCTCACAGGAAATGTAGTAGGGCAGAGGAAGAGAGAGGAGCACTGGGGTATTATTAGACTATAGATCACAGCAAAGTTTTAGAAAAATTACCTTGTAGGTAATTGTAGGGCAGCTAGATGGCACAGTGGGTAGAGCTCTGGCCTTGGAGTCAGGAGGACCTGAGTTCAAATTTGGCCTCAGACGCATAACACTTAGTAGCTGTGTGACTCTGAGCAAGTCACTTAACCCCAATTGCCCGCCCCCAAAAAGAGCTGCTTCTTAAAGGATTAATCACACAAGAACACTTTAAAAAATTACCTTGCAAGATGTTAATTTGGCTATTTTACTCTAGTGGGTATTATTTTATGTCAATAGTATGAACAACAGACTGGCATATCACTTGGCTAATCAGCTTTCTACCCTAGTACTTACTGTGAGAAAGACCAAAAACTATTCATAAATGCTTAGTTAAGGCATCCACTTCTGGGTTTTTCTGGAGCAGTTGCTACCCAGTATTAATACCCATAAGTCCTCCCTACCTCATTGTTGTATCTTTCGAGAAGTTGAGGGAAAGGTCCTTTAACTTGAAATCATATCTCTGTAGGAAAAGTCCCATTTGCAGCAAAATATTCGCTGTCGAATTTCTGGTGGTAGCAAAGAACTGCATAAAACTGGATTCCCATTGATTAAGGATGGCAAATCAATTTTAGCAAAAGTATGTAGTGGAATATTATTGTACTGTAAGAAATGATGAATATGAAGCATACAGAGAAATACACAAAGACAATTCAGAGAGAGAATTAAGCAAAAGCAGTAAGACAATGCACATGATGACTACAGTAATGTAAATGGAAAGAAAAAACAGAAGAGAAGTTAAATGCTATATAATTATGAAGACTAATGCGGTATAATTATGAAGACTAAGCTTGGTCTTGGAGAAGAGTTGGAAAAAAGAAACCTTCCTCTCTTCTTTGTAGAGGCGGGGGGACTATAGGTGTGGAAAATTGCATGTATTACTAGATATAATCAAAATGTTGGTTGGTTTTGCTGAACAGCTTCGCTTCCCCTCCCCTTTTTTAAAAAATTTTTATTACAAAGGAGGGACCATTGGGTAGGGAGGTGGAAGAGATATATTCAGATGTGATTTTGAGGTAGAAAATGAAAGACATTAATAAAAAGAAGAAATCACACTTCTATGCAGCAAAAAATATTTCTAGATAGGATCAGGCATATAGGCTGGTACTTCTGGTCTGAGGCTCTAACTGCTTATTGCAGAATCTAGGACTATTAGTGGTTCTTTACCTTTGGGAGTACGTAAGACTTTGGCTTTACAATAACTAATCCATCTTTGACAATAACACTCTCATTAGGGCCACCTGCTGCTCCTATCCCAGGACTCCATAATGGCACTCCATGGCTTGGGTGTGGCATTGTTTCTTCTGCTCATCATGTTTATAGATGAAACTCCATCTCACCAAATAGCAGCTACTTTGTAGCTACCTTGCTTTTGTTTTTCTTTCTGACTTCTCCCAACCTGTCAGTCTGTGGCCGTGGTTCAACATAAAGGCAGGGCAAGAAATTTGAACTGGGAGATTTTGATCACTAGATGGACAGGTGGCCTAGCAATCAGAAAGGATTCCAGGTCCATGTGTGAATTGAAGGTCAGGGTGAAACAGTGACTTAAAAACAAGGCAGTCAAGTAGCATGGTACAATGGATACAGTGCTGGACTTAAAACCCAGGTATGTGACCTTTGGCAAGTTAATTGGTATTTCAACCAGTTTCCTCATTTGTAAAATGAGAAGATTGATCTTAATGAACTCCAAGTTTTCATATATATATATTTATATATATATATATGTATGATGTACATACATATATATGTATATGCACACGTGTTATTCAGTCATTTCAGTCATGTGTGACTCTTTGTGACCCCATTTGGGATTTTCTTGGCAAAGATACTGGAGTGGTTTGCCATTTCCTTCTCCAGCTCATTTGACAGATGAGGAAACTGAGGCAAACAGGTTTAGGTGACTTGCCCAGGGTCACATAGCTAGTGTATGAGGTCAGATTTGAACTCAGGAAGATGAATCTTCCAGCACTCTATCCATTGCCACCTAGCTGCCCGCATACACACACATACACACACACACACACACACACATTATATATATATATATATATATATATATATATATATATATATATATATACACACATATATACATATACATACAGTTGTCTCTTCCACATCATGGGGGTTAGGGATGCAGCTATCTGGAAAATAGGCATAAATTTTTTTGGCCCTCCCTTCATAGCTGAGAAGTCTGAATTTTTATGGCATGTTGATATTATACAATACTATACATATATTTTATGTATTTCTGAGTTTCTAAACTTTTTCTGTGTCTTCTGCTGGCCTTCACATGTCATCTGTGGCTTCTGCAAAACTCCCCCAAAATTCTCATTTAATTTTTTTTTTTGCCGACTTGCAATATATTGAAACCACGATGGGGAACGTGGCAATGTAGAAGGTATAACTCATGTGCTTGTGAGGGAAAGGGGTTTTCATTTCTTTGTATACACAGCTCCTAGAATATTGCCTAGTACATGATAAATGCTTAATAAATGTTTAATGGTTGATAAAAAGGGAAAAAGCTTTTCCTAAATAATTAGAGCCATGTCACATGGAATTGGTTGACATCAAGGGGTAGTGAATTACCATCACTGTTAAGTTTTCGAGTAAAAAATGGATGAGCCCTTGCCAGATGTATTGTAGAGTATATATCTATTTAGTGGAGGGTTGAACTAGATGACCTCTGAGGTCACTACTAACTCAGACTTCAGATTTAAAGTCAGGGCATATATGCATTCTGGGAATCAGAAAAAGCAGTTAGTAAGAAACTATATTGATAGACAAGAAGGATGAAGACAGAAGTACTGAATTACAAAGCAGGTGGACGAAGTCTGAGCTGGCAGGTACCAGGAGAGCTACAAAAGACAAGGCAGGGCAGTCCAAGGGAGGCAGGAGAACAGTCAATCAATCAATCAATCAAAATTTCTTATTAAGTCATTAGTATATGCCAAACACTGAGCTAAGCTTTGGGGTTATAAAGGCAAAAATAGTCTGTGCTCTCAAGGAGTTCACAGTTTAATGGAGGAGATTTGCCATTCAGTCTTTCAATCACATTCGACTCTTCATGACCTCATGGACTATCTTTTCTATAGGGTTTTCTTGGTCAAGATACTGGAGGGGTTTATCGTTTCCTTCTCCAGTGGATTACTTTTTTTTGGTCAGAGCTCTCCACCATGACCTGTCCATCTCAGGTAACCCTGCATGGCATAGCTCATAGTTTCATTGAGCTGACAAGGCAATGATCCAGGAGAGGCTTTTTTTAGACAAACAGGTTGAATGACTTGTCCAGGGTCACACAACTCATAAGTGTCTGAGGCTGGATTTGAACTCAGGTCTCTAGGACCAGCATTCCATTCACTTAGCAACCTAGCTGCCCAAATGGGGGAGATGCTATGTAAATAACTAGGAACATATAGTTGCTATGTATAGAATAGATTTGAGGTAAACTCAGGGTTAGTTAGTACAAACTGGGGGAACCAAGAAAGACCTTCTGCAGAAGATAGGATATGAACTGAGAAAGGTCAACAAGAGATTTTGCTTCTATAATGAATTTTTAGTTAGAAGCTTCTTATATACTTCCTATTGGGAAGTAACCATTTCTAATTCTTAGCCATCTTAGGGTCTGCTGCTTGGAGCGAGAAGGTTCTACCTGGTGAGAGCAGGTGTATATTTGGAAAATTGTAGCAGACACACACAAATACACATCCTACTTTGTGGTGTTTATCATTGTAATTAAGACTGCATAGTGATCACAGGGAAGGGGACTGAGAAAAGATAGGGAGAAAAGTGCCCACCGGAAGGTTGAGGTAAAAGTGACCACTCGATGAAAGGATGCCGAAGATGAATGACTGATCGTTGACACTTTTCCACATCTCCATTCTGTTCAATCATGTCCACAATTTCCTGAGTCCATGTTGTTCCTGATTCCCAGGTAGAAAGAATTAGAAGCAGAAAGCACTTGAAAGCACCATTTTAACTACCGTCCCTGTTTGTCTTAGCTAAAGTAGACCCTGCTACACTAGCTATATCATCCTCAATTCATAACTCTATTATCTGTGGTAGATAGATGTTCTTCCCTTTGTTGCTAAGAAATGACTGAAATTCACTGGAAATGATGTGATAGACCCACTGTTTTTAGAAGTAGAAGAGAATTCAAAGCTTCTGGAAGCTTTCCACTTGGGATAGGGAAGTAGCTATATTTTTAGGAAGGGTGACTGGTGAACTATGAACTTATGGAGGCATATAAAATCACTCTAGACCATAGATTTAGATTTGGAAGGGACCTTAGAGATTGAATTGAATTGAATTCAAACCCCTCATTTTACAAATGAAGACTGTAGGGTCCTGAGAATTGAAACCATTCTCCTAAAGTCACATAGGTAGGAAGAGCAGGGATTTGAACCCAGAATTCTCCAAACCCCTTACTTCTTAATGATGTTGCATCCCTTTTTTGCCCACTTTGAGGGCAAGGAATGTCATAATTACTAGAGGGAGAAAACTGTCCAAACCATACAAAAGGAACACTGTAACAACTCATATTTATGTAGCACTTTTGGATTTGATAAAGTGCTTTCTTTTTTTTTTCTTTTTTCTAGTGAGGCAATTGGGGTTAAGTGACTTGCCCAGGGTCACTGGTAGGAAGTGTCAAGTGTTTGGTCTGAGGCCAGATTTGAACTCGGGTCCTCCTGACTTCAGGGCCGGTACTCTAAATACTGGGCCATGTAGCTGCCCCTTAAACCTTAGTATTCTTATCTATCAAATAAGGACACTGAGGTTTTGTTGAGTATAGGAGTTATCAGAAATAAGCAACAGGCTAAAAGATGAGATTTTGGGGACTTTGATTATATCTCTGGAAGGTATGGGCATAATAATAATAATAATAATAATTGGCATTTATATAGATCTTTACATATATTATCTTATTTGATACTCATAATAACCCTGGGAAGTAGGTGCTGTTACTATCTTTCTTTTACAGATGAAATAACCACTCCCTCATGATTTAGGCCATCTCCTTGTCAGGGTCCAAATTAACTCTGCTTTGGATTTCTCTCTCGCTATATCAACTCAGAGCCTGTAGGTCTATCTAGAGGGGTATGTACCCAAACTCAACATACTCCTCTAGGCAGACCAGGGCCTCACTACTTATCCTCTTTTTATAGAGTACAGTACAAAGGCACATTTCTACGATAACTTGAGACAGTCAAATCATACATGTTTGAGACTTAATCACTTATTGCCAGTGTGGTGTAAATGAGCAGTAAGTAATCAAGGTATTCCCCACGACCCACCAAGGAGATACCCTCTATCATCACAATGAGCTGTTAATAGGTTATATTCATATCTACTCTCAGGAGATGTAAAAAAGTCCGAAAATGCCCCATCTTTTCGCCTTATTGCCCAGGCTTACTTCTGGGCCTCCTTCTATATGAGGTTATTCATTGTTCCTGGTCCAATTCAGATCTCCTAATTCCAGGTCCAGCAGTTTTTTTTTGAATAGACACCTCCACTAAAGTTATCCTCTGGTGTCTTGGGACAGAGTTAGATAGTCAGACTAGGACAGAGTCAGAACTAGAACAAGGAGAAATATGTTTCAGATGCTGAAATTTATGGGGGTCTCCTTAATGAATGGGGTTGTTATGGATAATTTAGTTACTGATATCAGAAGTGAAAACAACTAGGGGCACTTAGGATTCCCAAACCACTCTTCTAATATGAGATGGTTTCTTCTTCCTTGGCCTTAATTCTGCTCTGAATACACGTGAATACACTATTTTTTTTTACACTCCTCTGTTCTAAAGCACATTAAAAATATTATCATTTATACACAAATCTTACAGATCAACATTTTGGAAGCAAAGCTTCAGGAAATTTAAGCTCTGATAATCATTCACAAGTACTTTATAAGAACTCCCCTACAGATTCTACTTCAGAATGAATAGCCTCATAACCTTGTGGACTAGGCTTTTTGTAAGTACACTAGCCTGATAATTAGGGTGCCCCAGGTTGGAGTGCCTGACGTACATTGAGGGGGAAATGAGAAGCTGAGGACTTGGGGCACAAATTGAGAGACATTCTGTCAGATACTGTTAGCCCCAAGTCTCCTCATATCACTTTATTATCAGTAACTGTCCCCATTCCCTCATCTGGTTGAACCATCCTCCCCTCCACACACACCAGAGGCTTGACTTCTCTCTTAGGATCAATGGTAACTTAGTTATCATGTCTGCTGCATATTTTCACTACATCCTATGTTCAAAGGAGACACATGCCATGATTCTTTCACCATCTCCCTTTTTAGCCAAGGCTGGGGTGGGGGGTGAATAGGGCATAATATAGACTCATTGGGACCACTGTTCCCCTGGCATAACTGCATTCAGCCACGAGTTGCTCATAGGAAAGCTGGTGTACCCTAGCCTCATCTTTTCCTGCTTTGTCTCCTTGATGGGACTCTCTTCAAGTTTCTTCTTCCTTACCCCAAAGCCTCAGAATTCCTAAGTCACGACTCTGAAAGGTCCCACCAAAACGGAAGGTCTGAGAATATCAGCTTAGGGATGGCATCTATATATTTGTTCCCTGAGGATCAGCTCTAGTTAAAGTTCAGAGGATCTTATTGCTGGGTTTACTTCAGAGTGATGAACTTTTCTGGCCACAATGACTCTTGAGTGTATTAAGTTATAGGAAGCCTGTGTTCTATTTTGGCAGGAGTACTCTCATGAATGAAATCATGGAGAGGCAGCTGCGTGGTCTTGGAATCAAGAAGACTTGAGATCAAAATCTGTGTCAGACATTAACTCACTCTGTGAACCTGGCCAAGTCACTTAACTTTGGTTTCCTAGTATGTGAAATGGGGACGATAATAGCATCCACCTCAGAGTTGTGAGGCTCAAATGATGTGTGTGTGTGTGTGTGTGTATAAAAACTTTCTCTTTTAGTCCAGCAACCCTGAGGATCTTCCCCTCCCAGTTTGATTTTATTCTTTTTTCTTTTTTTTTGATTAAAGGGGCCTTTCCTTGACTCACTTCTTAAAGAGGCCTATTGACTGCATGGGCATCACCTCAGTGAAAGCGAAAACCTGAAAAGACCTTAGCTTAAAGGGCCAAGGTCTCCCATTGCATCCTGGGTCATCTCCAGTTGTCCTGATGAATATCTGAGCACTGGACCCAGATAGCTCAGGGGGAGAAAGTGAGGCTGGTGACCTTGTACAGCCCTCCCTCACTCAAATCAAATCAAAATCATCTCCCTGATGTCACAGTCCTCTTTGAGAATGAAGGACAAATACAACACCAATAACCAATATGTTTTTATATGTATGTATATATGCATATATGTATGTAAGATATATATTATATATTTGTTTTTTATATGTTTTATATATGTATACATGTATATATATGTAAAACAAAGTGCTATATAAATATTCTTCTTCTTATTATAGATCCTTCCTTCCCTCATTCAAGGCAGCTAGGTGGGAGAAAGATAAAGTACTGGAGTTGGACTACAGAAGACCTGAATTTATATCCTGCACCAGGTTCACCTGTGTGAATCTAGATAGATCACTTAATCTCTCAGCCTCATCTGTAAAATGGGGATAATAACAGTATCTATCTTACTTGTTGTTGTAAGGATAAAATGAAATAACATATATTGGTAAAGTACTTTGCAAATCTCAAAGCACTACAAAATAATTATTACATATAATTATATTTTATCAAAAATTATTAATATAACAACTTATATTAATAATCTCTTATTATATTAATGTAATATACAATAATTATAATACACACATAATACTTATATAAAGCATTAGCAATTATTATTATTAAGAGGAACTTCAGATCTTTCTAGACACACTCACCTGACTTAGGATAGGTACAGATGAGAAGATCATCATCCTTGGCCTTGAATTTCTGTATTTGGTCCCAGTTATTCACTGTTGTACTTGGCAGGAGGATCCCCTCCACTTCCCCCAAAGTTGCACGTTTCCTTCCCTCTGAAAACAGTGGTCTTTTTGCTTCCTGGGCCATACTCTCTTTCACCTGATCTTTATCACAGGCTAGAGGAGATACTGAAACCACAAAGAAAGGATGACAGTGTGTATGCTGATTGTTACTATTTAAGATCAGAGTTCAGGGATTCACAGTTTAAGGCCTTATATAAATATAAGTTCTTCTTATTATAGTTATTAGACCATAGTCCTCAAGCGTCCAGTCCAGTGGAGACTTCTTTCCCTGAGCCTCCTACTGTTGCATAGAAATGAATAGTTTAGGAAAGGCTGACTGCTGCTATTGGGAATTGGTGGAAACAGAGAGGGAACTGAGATGGAATTGGTGGAAGCAAAAGAACCTCAGAAAACTCTGGCCAGTATGGCAGAGGGTGGTGGGTGGACAGGCTCTGGTGAGGAAGCAGTCACTTGCAGGGGAGCAGAGAAAGACTTGAAGACCTCAGGAGGTGCTAGGGTATGTGCATGGATATTTTAGGGGTGTGATTAGGAGATGAGATTGGGAAGGGATAAAGAGGAGAGGAACGTCTTACTATGGGCCCCAGGCCTTTTGGAAAATATAGTCCATGGTCCTTAAAGTCCCAGTTCTGTCACTATTGTCAGGCTAGTGCCCAACAGGCACATGGCCCCACCAGATTCATTCAATCTATTTTCTTAGCTCCTATTGCATTATAGTAGAAGTTAATACAAAATACATACAGCTTGTTTTGCTTTGCGTGTCTTACCTTTCAATGCTAAGGGAAAACAGGACTTAGGTCACTGTGTAGTTGTTAAAATTTAATGAAAACAGTGGACATTCCAAGGAGAGACGTTGAGGTATTTCCTTGTACGGTAATTCCAAGAGGCCAAACTACGCCGGACTTGAGCTGCCTCTGATTATTACCCAGGATACCCTCCAGCCAGATTTCTAGCATGAGGTGTGGTAGCTTCATGCAACATGCTAGACTTCTAACATAATGATGGTAGCATGGGCTCTAAACAGAAGGACACTGAATGTCTGTGCTATTGGCCTTTCCCCTACAGTCAGGTCAGTGATTACCAGTGAATAGAATTAAACTTGCTGTGTCTTTAAGCTTGGATTTGTTTCTGCAAAGGTTGTGTCCCCAGGTAGGGAAAAGATTTAAGTAACAGTTCTGTTCCTTTGTCTTTCCTTCCTGTATCCTTTTTGGTTTGTTAACCGATCTCTTTGTCAGATTTCTTGCCCAGCTTCAGACTCAACTCTGATTTTGAGAAAATGCCAAGTTAGTTCAAGATTTAACCGCGAAATGGGTGTAAGGTTTTTGTTGACTCTTTCTTTCCTTTAGCTTCATCCATACCCACTCCTTCAACAAATGCTCATTAAGCACCTGCTTGATGCTAGGTGCTGTGTTGCATGTCGGTGAAGTGAAGACAGACAGAAGCAGGCCCTGCCCTCCTGAAGCTTACATTAGAATGGGGAAAACTACTATGTTTGCAGATAAGTTAATAAAAAATGTATGAAAAGTAATTTCCCCAGGTGGTGGAGGGAAACACCGATAGAAAAGACCTCTGGGCCCTTTTGAGTTGTTCCTTGAAGGAAATTAGGAATGCTAAGAGGGAGAGGAAAGGAAGGTTCTTTGTAATAAACAGCTCATGCTTATATAGCATTTTTAAAATTTATAAAATAATTCCCTTGTAAGCAACCCCGAGAGCTAAGTAGGGCAAATTTTATGGTATCTATTTTACCAAATGGGCAGGGAGGTGACACAGTTGATAGAGTGCTAGAGAGGCTGGAATCAGTAAGACTCCTCTTCCTGAGGTCAAATCTAACCCTAGACATTTACTAACTGTGTGACCCTGGGCTAGTCACTTAATCCTGTTTACCTCAATTTCCTCATCTGTAAAATGAGCTGGAGAAGGAAATGGCAAACCACCCCAGTATCTTTGCCAAGAAAACTCCACATGGGGTCACAAAGAGTTGGACATGACTGAAAAACACTAAACAACAACACCAACAACAAATTTTTACCAAACAAGGAACTGAGGTCTCAGAACAGGAGAGGGGCCTGTTCAGTGTCACTCAGAAGATGACTTCAGGGACAGCCTGGGCCAGGATATGGAGGCAGGAGATGGAATGACATGTTTGGAGAGCAAGCAAATAGGCTGCTATGTCTGGAACATAGAGTTCATGAGGCACAGTAATGTGAAATCGATTATGCAGGAAAGAAAGATTGGAGCCAAATTGTAAAGGACTTTTTATTTATTTATTTACTGGGGGGGGGTTGTAGTTACATGTATTCTTTTTCTATGACATAATTATGCTACTTTTTTTTTGCATTTTTATTTAAAGTTTTGATTTCCAAATTCTATCACTCCCATTGTCCCTTCTCCCCTCCCTGAGACAGTAAACAATTAGATATAGGTTATACCTATGCAATTATGTTAAACATTCCGTATTGTGCAAGAAGACCCAAATAAGTGAAGGGCTTTGTAAAGAGTGCTGGCTCTGGAGTGAGAGGACCTGGTTTAGAATCCTGGCTCTCTATGTGCCTTGGCATAAGTTTCTTAACATCTTTGGGAGTCAATGTCCTTTTCTGTAAAGTGTGTAGATGGAGGTTTGTTACTAGAGGGTCTCTGGTCCTTTAAAAACAGGAGACATTCAGGGATATAGGTTATATTCCCTCATTGTCCATTGCTTGCCCGGAAATGACATCTCTTGCAAATTATTTAGTTCAACCCTATCCTTTTACAGATGAGGAAACTGAGGCACAGAGAGGTTAAGAAACTTCCTTGAGGTCACACAGAGAATAAAGTAGTAAAGTCAGTGCTCAAACCTAGGGCTCTGACTCCAAACCCACCACCCCAGCCATTATTCTATGTTTATGTGACTTGTAGACATCACAGTCCTTTTTGATTCCTAGCTCTATCTGCTTCAAAGAGTGAGCTCCCTGCTTAATAACCTCCAATTACTTCTAGCATGGAACATAAACTCCTCTGTTTGGAATTAAAACCCTTCACAACCCACTTTCAATTTATTTTTTAAGTCTTATACATAATTTCCAGTCATGCACTACAGTCTAGCCAAACTTCTTGCTGTTTCTCACATAAGACACCCCATCTGTCATTTCTGTACCATTCATTGTACAAGCTGATTCCCATCTCTGGAATGCACTCTCTCTTTACCTCTATGTCTTACGATCCCTAGTTTCCTACAAAACTCAAATCAAGTCCTTCTACATGAGACCTTTTGGGATCCCTTCCAGCTTCTCTAATGCCTTCCTTCCCACAAAAGTACCTCATATTAATTTTGTATGAACTTTGATATATCTACATGTTGTCTCTCTCAATAGAATGTAAGCTTCTTGAAGACAGGTACCACCATTTTTTCTTTCTATCTCCAGCATAGCCTGACATAGTGCATATGGAGTTGTCTTCAGGGTCAGAAACATCTGGCTCAAATTGTGTCTCTGACACATACTGGCTGTCTGACCCTGGGCAAGTCACAAAGCATATGTTGATATGCATGGGTAGAGGGTGTTTCCTCATGGGGTATTTCCTACAGCTATGAAATTATAAATAAAAACTGAACAAAAAAATCCAATGAAAATGTAAAAAAAATCTCTAGCATTTAGCATAGTACTTAACTTATTGTAGGCTCTTGATAAAACTTGGTGATTGATTCTTTAGCCCTTAGGCAAATGCCTGATGGGATTTTAGGTTAATGCAGTTTCACTAGGGAACATCTTCCTCATAAAATGCCATTAGATACCCAAATACAATTTCTAGCTTAAATATTTACTTTGCTAACCAATCTTAACTCTAATTTTTCCTTATTAGGTTTGTTTTCCAAAACTTTAATCTATTTTACAGCTTTTCTCTGGAACTCCTATGATTTTGCCACATTCTGCCTTAAAATGTAGAGCCCTGGACTACACAAGGTATATCTACTTTAGATCCCTGAATCTACTACTTTGCACATCTCTGTATTTGGATTGTTAGAATGATCCCCTAACAAAAGAATATTTCATACTCTGGAAGAAATACTTCCTGTGTCTAACATGTCAATCTGATTAATCAGTCCGTGCTATGCTATGCTATACTATTAATGCATATTTCCCTAGGGGTCCACCTTGAACTGTAGTTCTTTTTATATTTTCCTGTAACATGAATATATCATTTATTTTCATTCCTTAGGTTTCCTTCTTTGTAATTCTTGCTATAGGATGTCATCCTGTTCCCTATAAATTTTTCCCTTTATTGGTCGGGGTCACCTTGAATTCTATTGGTCTTCTGTGACATTAACAACCTCACTATGCAATCACACTTAGTCCACATGTCCTCAACATCATCATCAGTTGCACTTTGAGAGGTAATCAAAAGAAAAGTGAAAAGAAGGCTTTGTATGGTTACTTACAAGTATTCCAAGACAAGTTGTAAAACAGGGAGGTGAGCAAGATGTGGCCCAGGTACTGTTTTAGCTGACTAGTTGGGCTTGTTTAAATATCTTGCTGCAAAGGTGACTGATTGTCCAATCATTATTACTTATGATATCTGACTTCAGCCCAAACCAACCTCTTTGGGACACTAAAATTCATATAGGTGGTTATGATATGAATACTCCAATTAGACATTGTGGTCAGGGTTCACCTATATTCCTAGGCATTCTGGGAAAAGCCACAGTCAATGGTCTTTTCGTGTGTTCTGACCCTATTTCCCACACTGAGAGCAGCTCCCCTTATCTGTCCTATTAGGATTTTGATTAATGTGTTTACATTTGGTAGTACTGACTACACCTAAGTGCTACATCAGCAATGAAGTGGTTAGGGTTTGTGAGGCTTTGTGTGTGTGTGTATGTGTGTGTGTGTGTGTGTGTGTGTGTGTGTGTTTGAATGAGAGAGAGAGACAGAGACAGAAACAGAGACACAGAGACAGAGATAGAGAAAGAGACAAAGAGACAGAGAGAGACAGAGATAGAAATACACAGAGAGAGACAAAGACAGAGAGACAGACACAGAGAGAGATACAAAGAAGGAAAATTCTTAAGTTTCTTAAGTAGAACCCTTGAGGCAAATG